GTGATTAAATTATATTGTTTCAATTGTATTGAATTTAGCGCGTTCGTGAATTTATTCTTTCATGAATATTCACTCATTAAATTCATCTCTCTCCATTTTCTGTCTTGACCTGACCTCAGCTGAAAGTCATTGATCAGAGCCCACTCGGGGGGACAGCTGTCATGACCTGACCTCACCTGATGGTCATTCTTCGAATAGCTGTGGTGACCTGATCTGACTTTCACTAGGAGTGATTGACACGCTAATGGAGAAAAACAGCTTGCCAATTCCCTTTTAATTGTTTGAACTAGTTGTCACAATATAGGGTTAATGCATAGCAACCGTTACATGTTCATGGTGACAAGTTTTATCGGCGCTAGAACAGAACTTGTAACACGACTTGTATAATTAAATATAACGCCAAGAGGTATCCTCATTGTAAGGTTGCAATTATGCGTAATGATTCACGTATGAGAGTAGGTTAAGGTAACTGAAGTAAATCATACGTTCAGCAATCTTTGAGCCAGGGTGACCACAATTATGTCCATTAATTTAGGACTAGGATTTAAGTCTGATTTAGGATCCACTTAATTAATCACAACCTGCTCACACTTTTACATGTCGCCGTCATGTTGGTTAAATCCCATCGGTTCGTGATTCATGATAAATCCCCGTAGAGCATTTCATGAGCGCTCATCATAGATCCGCAGATAGAGTGGGTAATTTATAGATTTTCCCAGCTCGTTTAAGCTTCATAAAATACGGCAATTTTTTGGGACGTCCCCCCCGTCAATTGAAGTCTGTATGACCGGTAAGACATATCTACTTCCTCGGGAAAATACCAAAGAAGATTTGCTCGCGAAAAGGCTTGCAAATAATTTTCACGTCACCATTCATTAATGCGTCTTTTTGTCGCATATCATTAAATGTTAAATTCAATGTGGTACTTAAAATATTTTGAATTACGTCTATAAATAATTAGTCGCATTATTGTTTTAATGAACTTTATTCAGCGTGTTGGCAACACTACTGCTATAGGAGGTCACTCTTACTTTCATTGACACCTGTAAATCATTACACTTTTCTTTTGGGATCGACAAATGGTTCAAGTAGTTCCTTGCGTAATGCCAATTATTGGTTCCTTTACCTTTCACGAGACGATGGTAACTCAAGAGGATCCTTACGGATAGTTATCACTGTCTCCCTCTCCTATTTTCTTCTTTTAACTTACTTTAACTTTGTGAACACAAAACACAAAATAAAAAAAGACGAAAATAACGAAAATTCAACTTTAAAAACTGCAAATTATGAAACAAAAAATCGGCTTGTAGCATTTAACACATCTTCTCTGTCGTTTTTCCTTCTCTCACTATCTGGCCCATTATGTGTTATTCTGGTTCCCGATATCCGAAACGGCACCGAAGGAGGCCCTGCTGCAGAAACGGTCACCTTCGGAAGCCATTAAAAAACGTCATCGGAGATCGCCGCTTGCCAGGAAGCAGGAGCTCGCCAGTAAGGGTTCGCCATCCTATGATGCTGTGGACGGGCCTGCCTGGATGCCGCAAACCCAGTCAAACTCCAGGAGCTCATTAGTGCAGGTATCAGCCGCCCTACGATGTCGAAGAGGACGAGAAGGACCTAGACGGAGATCTGCGAGACGTGCATTGGGCGAATAAGTCGCCGAGTTTGACCTGTACGCGGACTACGAGGATGTCTGGGCGAGGACTTGCGCGATACCAGTCGAGGACGAACGGATAACGACACAGAACGAGCAGCCACGGAGATGCACCAAGGATGAGCAAGTTGGAACCAGCCAGGTTAAGGTCGCCCTTGAGGAAGTCTAGATCGCCTCGAGGAGGTGGTGGCCGAGCAATATACTGTGCAATATACCGGTATTATATGCCTGCGTGGCCCCCACGTGGAGGCTTGCAGTGGCCACGTGGCGACACGCCCTGGCTACCAAGCGGCGTGTCCACAACGGCTGGGCAGTCCTCCTCGGCCCCCCCAAGCCAGCATTTCGGATACTTAAGGCCGCGTTTTGACCCGGTCAAGGGAGAGTGTGACCCGGCGCGGTCAAGGTCACAGCAGCACGCTGAGCCGGTCTGCCGTTGAGGTAGGCTCGCCGGTGACCCCAAGTGACCAGCCCATAACCCAAGACTGTCATCGTTGTGTTTATCCCCTGTATGCTGAACTCTTATCAATAAAGGGTTTTTAAGCCACCAAGCTTTTACTACTCCCTGTCACTAATGTTTAGAGGTCCTTATATAACTCTTACACCCACATCCTCCTCAGATAAATGCGGTTATATCGGGGCCTGGAGGTGATGCTGCCGGCCAGACGACTAGTCACACTGGAGGAAGGGGTCGCATGGGGAATGCCTCGACGCAGCATAGCATCATCACTCCGCGTATGGCGCACATTGAAAATACAAAGCAAAATGCACAGCAAAATTGCGTCACGCACGGCTCCACCAGGTGGGAGTGTTGCCACCTTCAGTTCTCTCAATTTCTTTTCTATCTTTTTTATACTTTATTACCCCCTGGAGTGATGACCGAAGATCGGTGAGGTCAGTCACTACAACTACTCACTCATGTACGCACGCACGTGCACACAAACACGCTCGCGTACACAAAGAGACACACCGCAGACGCGCACACACACAAACACGCACACGCACACAGAGAGAATGAGATAGAGATAGACTACACTAAAACCATAGATATAAAACTTACACAAACATACCACTGCATAATCTATGTCCAGGTGAAAATATTGAAAAATAATCGCCTATTACTAGTATTAATCATTATATCCATCACTCCAATAACTCTAATTAACTTTTAAACGTCACATCTCGAAACAATCACCCAAATATCATTTCAAGGCCCCCTTTAGCGTTCATAACCTAGACCCTTGACTTCACAAATAGTGGTTTTATAGGCCAACTGAGTTCAAAGAGCGACCAGTATTATCTGCAGTCAATAACACTGTCTTGTTCCTCCTTTCCCCTATTTCCAACTCAGTATCTTCACTGCAGAATCAGATTGAAATAACAAATACATTATATGAAAAATAAAGAAGTAAAATATAAATAAAAATACAAATAACAAAACAAGAAAAAAAATAGAAACAAGTAAACACACAAATACCCATAAAAAAAAACTAAAAACACTCAGCGAATTGTAAAAACAAGTCAACAACCACAACTATATCCTTCAATAACCAAACAAAACAAACACACACACAACCAATAAAAAAAAAAAAAAAGAAGAAAAAATGAAAGTCGAAATAACTAAAACCACACTCAGCCGAAGCCCTAAAGACGCTCATCACTCCGCGCATGCTCTCACGTCCGTCGGCTAATTTTAACGAAGAAAGGGTTTAGTGTTAAGCTTAGATTATGGTTATTATTTCGTGATTATTTCGTGATTATCCTTTCTTCCATGTTTAGCGCTTGGTGTGTGTTGGTGGTTATCAATTCGTGATGTTTTTTAGCGTTTATGATTTTTCTTTCATGAACATCTGGAAATGAGTTAAAGTTCGTCAAAGTTGTATATAAATCTCTTAAGTAAAGGGTTTTAGACGTGGCTAAATAAGGCTAAGATTTTTTAATGTAGACTTTACTAAAGACCTTGGATCAATGTAAAATATTACACGATTAGTCAATTTCACTCCATTAATATAATAACAAGAACAAGAAGAAGCATAACAAGAACAAGAATAACAAAAAGAATAACAAGACCAAAAAGAACAATAACAAGACCAAAAAGAACAATAACAAGACCAGTAACAAAAAGAATAAGAACAATAATAAAAACAACAAGAACAACAACAATAAGAATAACAATAACAATAAATAATGATAATGATAATATTTTACAACGCTGCAGTAATGTTACAAGTCAGAGTTATAAATCAGCCGCTAAATTGTTCGTGGCTTTAAAACAGATGAAATTCACGTCCAATACAACACGCATAATAATACAATTTCTCATTACAAAAAAAAAATGTTTACTATTCATGAACTATTATTAATTATTCATGATCAAATCGATTCAAAATATTAAACCGAGGTTCGAGATCGTCAACGCATTCGAACGCTTTGTTTACATCCCCCCTGTGACGTGGAAAAGATCCAGTGTTGCCATATGAGGCGTTGCGATATTCATGAAAAGTCTGTTCATCAGCGAAAATAAACTTGTTGCTCAATCAGATGACTGTAGAAAAACTGTTTAAATTTAATAATTAAAACTCTTAACTTATAACTTAAAATTAAGTTTCTTAACCTAACTTTCTCTCACTGTCTGTCAAAAATATCGATTTATTATTATTACATACACACAGACACACATGAACACACATGAACACACACACACACATACACACACACATGAACACATACGCACACACACACACACATGAACAAAAACACACACATGAACAAAAACACACACATGAACACAAATACACACACACATGAACAAAAACACACACACATGAACACAAATACACACACACACATGAACACAAATACACACACACACACAAAAACACACGTATGCGCACACGCACACTCACACACTCACACACAATAATAGTATTAACAATAACAACCAATAAACAATAACAATAATAAAATAATGATGATGATAATAATAATAATAATAAAATGATAATAAATAATGATTATGATAATAATAATAATAAAATGATAATAAATAATGATAACAATAACAATAACAATAATAACAATTATAATAACAATAATAATAATAACAATAATAATAATAACAATAATATTAATAACAATAATAATAATAACAATAATAATAATAACAATAATATTAATAATAATAATAATAATAACGATAATAAAAATAAAAATAATTAGAGCAATCAACAAATAATAAGCTAATAAATAAAACAAAAATAAAACAAACAACTCGGAGAGCAAACCAAAACAGACAAGGGGAAAAAAAGACACATGACATAACATGACATGACAAGAACAATCTACTTACTTTCCTCACGTCCCAAACATCCCGTCTCGACGTGACACCTCCGCCGTCGCCTCTCCTCCAGGTCCAAGTATCGGGTCCTGTTGCCGGGCACACATTTATACAGCGCGGAGTCCGAGTCTCAACTACAGGATATAAATAGGTTGAGTGAAAATAAAAGATATAAAAAAAATGTATGTGTTTAAAGTTTGCAGATAAAAGCGGAGATAAGGACGCAACGTTACGAGAAACATCTGTTCGAACAAGTGTTTCGGAGCAGTAAAATGTCGACCGCTTGAGGGAAAATGCGAGGGTCGTCTTTATAACAATGTTTGTTGTGTTGACGATATACAACGGACGTAAGTGAATGTGTATTGATATTACATAAGGCAGAATAAGCATATTAACCTTTGAAGAGCTGTTTAAATTGAAAATAAGTAATGCATGTAAACGAAAGGCCAACATAAAGCATGCGTGAAGACAATGACCAACCAAGTAACACTAGAAACAGTTCTCATTAACTGTATTGAAGAAAATGGTGTGACAGAATAGGAATTACCGATAAAAAATATTAAACACGGAAGTGATCTATAATAACAGGCATGATAAAAAAAAAAAAAAAAAAAAAAAAAAAAAAAATCGGGCAAAAAACATCTATGCACGGAGAAAAAGTCGGCATTCAGTAACAATGCAAGGGGAAACAATAACCACGAGATTAATGCAATTATAAATCAATAAACACATTACACTAAATTAAAAACAAGGAATGATGATAGTCAAGCACATTACGAGAAACTTAAAGTATGATATCTTTAAAAAAGATAAATGAAGTTGAAAAGAGGAATCAGTAACAATGTAGAAAAAGGCAGTCTGGAACAACGATCATTAAAATTAATAATGAAAAACTGAGCAATACTGATGATAACGATTACAATATTTCTATAGATGATAATACTGGATAATAACACTGATAGCTGTTATTATTAACGGTAACAAACGCGTGCTCATGTCTTAATGACCATATAATAATGGTAAAGCTGACAGCTGAGTGACGTAACTAAGGATACGATCTCTTGAGTAGTTACTATATCTGTGAACTTATAAATAACCATTATAATAAATCAAATGTTTCTGCCTATAGCCATTACGAAAGAAAAAAATGTAGGGGATGAATCATTGCAAAAGAAATAGTAGCTTTTAATATCTTACAGCATACACAGACACAGTGAAAAAGCACCTATGTTTTTAGTGTTTCTGCAAGTGAGTATAATACTGAAAAAAGAAAGAAACAAAAAAGAAAAAAATATATATATATCCATATCGTAAACATACTTAAGTTCATTATATTTCATTATAACAAAACGACTATTAAATATCGAGTAATAAGATATATATGTTAATTTGTATTTACAGATAAAAAAACCGTGATTGTTGCTATTACCTGCAGTTATTTAGATATTGTTAACATAGAAACTTTCAAAACATACAAGGCTCTTAATTAGTAATTACCTCTCTCTCTCTCACTCACAACTGTAATAATATTTTACACTCTCATTTCAATCAGGTTTAAGCTACACAGCCTGACTCACAGATTCTTGCCCATACAGAATCTTTACCCACGAGGATGGCACTCCTATATCTCTACCTCACCTGGAAATACGTGTCCCCTAACACTACTTAACCCATTGCCGCCGAGGATGGCATGTACGTACATGCCATGCCCGCTGTGAGTCGACTTGTTCGATTGTTTTTACACACAGATGGCTACACTTGTACAAAGTATCCAATGAGCCAATTATGTGTACTGCCTGTCTCGCCCGTTCACCCTTTTCATCGATTTACGAAAATATTTAACGTTATCCTAATTTGCTGTTAAACTTTTTTTCTTTTACTTTTGTTGGATTTCTTGGCTATCAACCAGCGGCATGTGGCCAAGGTTATTAAGCCAATGGATCCTATTTATTCTATCAATCTATATAAGGTCATAAAGTTTTGTCTCCCTTAGAAAAGCAATTACTTTATTTATTATTTTTTCATCGTTTGACAGAAGATTTGATATTGTTAAATCTTTGTTTTTTATTCTGAAATAATCTATTATATGTTTTCGTTGGCTATTATATTTTATACAAGATGTTAAGATGTGATTTATTGTTATGTTGGTGTTACATATCTGGCATCTTGGAGGGTATGTTTTTTTCTATGTAAGGAGTGAGGTGGGTAAATCTTGAGGCGTTGACCCTAAGGCGGGCTAACACCACCTCCTCCCTTCTTTTCTTCCTGTGGGATGTGTCCCACGATTCAATAGTGTTCTTGATTTTGTTTGTGATTTGGAGGTTGGTCCACTCACTTTGCCACAGATGTATTTTTGCTTTTATAAGAGACACAAAACACCTGAGATCTGTACGAACTATGGTAGTGTCCAGATCGCCAGTTGACCCGGCTAGTTTGTCAGCCTGTTCATTGCCATGGATACCAGAGTGGCTTGGCACCCATATTAGCTTGATTGATTTGTTGGCACCATGTAACTTACGAATGATATTACCCAGCAATTCATTTTTAGTGGTTTCTAAGGACTTAATAGCTTTAAGTGAACTTAATGAATCTGAAAAAATAACTATTCTATCGTGGGTCGTCGATAGTGCAAAATCGATAGCTTTGTCAATAGCAAAAAGTTCAGCAAGAAAGATCGATGTATGATTCGGCAGTCTGAACTTTAGTTCACATTCAGTCGACCATACACCCGCACCCACACAATCATCTGTTTTGGAGCCGTCGGTATATATATGAAAAAAGTTTAGATGTTTAATAAGGATCTCTCTGAACCTCTGGCGTACCTCCACCTCCGGCGCCATGGCCTTGGCTGATGGAAGCCAGGCTTCCATGATAGAAAAGTTGGGGGTTTCCCATGGCGCTATATTTGAATGAACCAGGGTATCAATGGTAGAGAGATCTATACCGACTTTCTCGGCGAGGTCGTGGAGTCTTGTGGCAAAGGGCCTAATGTCTCCATTGCCATTAGGGTGGTTCGGGTCTCGAGCCACCCTCGCGGCATAGCTCAGGGCTAACTGGCCGCGTCTGAGTCGGAGGGGAGGTACTCCTGACTCCACCTCAAGACGCTCGATCCGAGTACATTTCAGGGCTCCAACACAGACACGCAAACAAGCATTCTGCACAACATCCAAACCTTTCAAACTTGTTCTTGATGCCGAACCATACACGATTGACCCATAATCTACTTTAGACCTAATCAGGGCTTTATATATCATTAGCAAAGACTGTCTATCAGCTCCCCATTTATTACCAGAAATGCACTTTAATAAGTTTAGTGCTTTTTGACATTTATTCTTTAACTGACCAATGTGGTCTTTCCAATTGAGTCTACTATCAAAAAGTAGCCCAAGAAATTTAGCAGAATTTTGAATTGGTATTGGGTGATTGTCTAGAGTTAGCCAGATGTTCGGCTTTTTCCTATGTGAAAAAGTTACCCCAATACTTTTTCTAATGGAAAACTTAAAACCCCACTGGAGGCCCCAGTTATGAATCATATCCAGTGCCAATTGGATGCGATTTGCTGAGAATTCTGCATTATTGCTGGAGTGCCATAATGCACAATCAGCAGCGTACAGTGAGTATTTAAGATTCCGAGGGGGAGCTGGTAAGATGTCATTGATCATACACAGAAATAATGTTGGTGACAAGACACTTCCTTGTGGGACCCCGTTTGCCTGGACAAAAATGTCCGAAAAAGTGACGTTGTCAGAAAATAATTTGACAGCAAACGTTCTGTCAGAAATGAAATTTTGAATAAAACAAGGCAAGTTTCCATGTAATCCAAAAGCATAAAGTTTTCTGAGTAGGCCATATCGCCATGTCATGTCGTAGGCTTTTTCTATATCTAAAAATACTGAAATCAAAAAATCTTTTTTGGCAATGGCCTCTTGAATATGACTGGCCAGCTTTACTAGTTGATCGAGAGTTTGACGTCCCTTTCGGAAGCCGCACTGCTCGTCAACTAGCAAATGACTGGAATTTAAAAAATGCAATAGCCTACTGTTAACAATTCTTTCCATGACCTTGCATAAGCAACTTATCAACGCAATTGGGCGGTAGGAGATGGCAAGTTTGGGATTACCCCCTCCTTTCAATATGGGAATGATGTGGGCGAAGTGCCATGAGTTTGGAAAAGTGTGGCTTTACCAAATTTCATTGTACACTTCTAGCAACTTAATCATGTCATCATGATTAAGATGCTTCATCATCTCATATCGAATCTCATCGGGGCCTGGGGATGTTCCTCTACAGGCTTCTAGGGCTCGGACAAGCTCTTCTATTGTAAGGTCTTTATTATAATCAAAGTCATCTCCTGTGGCAAAGTGAATTGGTTGCAGTTCAGCCGCTTCCTTGATGGGCAGGAATGCGTGATGGTAGTTTGCTGAACTGCTTGTATGAGAGAACTGCCTGGCGAGTGCATTAGCAATGTCTCTAGGTGAATCGATGTTATTGCCCTCGTCAATGATGTTTTTAATTTTGAAAGATGTTTTTTTTCTATAGATTTTATTGATTGTGGACCAAACCTCTGATGTTTTTGTGTTACTGTTAATTGTAGAGACAAAGCTCCGCCAGGAGTCTCTTTTAGCTTGTCTAATTACTCTACGAGCCCTAGCTCTTGCTTGTTTGTAATTGCAAAAGTTCTCGTTTGTGATGTTATTTTTGAAAAGCCTGTAGGCCTTATTGCGTCGGCACAGCGCCCTGCGGCAATCTGGTGTCCACCATGGAACTCTATGCTTAACGCTATCTGTCGAAGTTTTAGGAATGGATAGCAAAGCTGCTTCTAAAATCGAATTCTGAATGTTGTTTACTTTATCATCAATGGTCTCTCCAACTAGTTCGAGCTTGACGCTCCTTGTGAAGGCGACCCAGTCTGCTCTTTTTACGTTAAATTTAGGTGCTGAAGGCGTTCTCACTGTGTCGCATGAATATTTAATCAAAATAGGAAGGTGATCGCTTCCCAACGAGTCGTCAATGGTGTGCCACAGGCACTTAGCTGCTACTGATGAAGAGACCAGTGATAGGTCAATAAAGCTCAAATTACCGGTATTATCGTCCACCCGCGTGGGACTACCATCGTTCAGAAGGACTAAATCAG